TCTCCTCTTCTGAAAAGATTTCTTAAGGGCCAGAGTCCCAGAAAAGGCTTCTGTCCTGGAAGGGGCTGAAGGTTCTAGAAGTTAGTTTCCAGCTGGGCTGTTTCACTGATCTGTGAGTATGTGTGTGTGCATACAGTGTGCCTGTGTGTTCATGCAGGTGTGCCGGCAGGTGCTGCAATGCCAGGACCCCGCCCGTCCATGCCCCTCTGCCCGCCTTGCCCCACAGCGCACCAGGCAGAGGCTGGGAGGCTGCAGAAAGCATAGCCGGGCAGATACTGCCACCTGCTGGACACACTGGGCACTGCATGCAGATGGCTTGGGGCCTGGCACTTCATCTCCTAGATCTTTTAAGGTCCCCAGAAAGTAGTGTCCTCCATCACCCCTCATTGCCTATGTGGGCCTCTGTAGAAAACACCTACAGGGTGCAATCCCAGCATTTTGGGAGGCTGAGGTGGGCGGATCACTCTCTGCTCAGGAGTTCAAGATAACGTGGTGAAACCCCGTCTCTACGAAAAATACAAAAATTAGCCAGGCGTGGTGACAGGCACCTGTATTCCCAGCTACTCGGGAGGCTGAGGCAGGAGAATTGCTTGAACCTGGGAGGCGGAGGGTGCAGTGAGCCGAGATCACGTTACTGCACTCCAGCCTGGGCAACAGAGAGAGGCTCCACCTCAAAAATAAAAAAAGGAAAACATCTACTGATGAAACTTTTGGCACCATGAACCGCTGTAAATCAAGTCAAGCCCTCTTCTCAGAATGTTTTCAAAAGCATACTATAAAATAGCACTGGGCACACTGGCTCACACCTATAATCCCAGCACTTCAGGAGGCTGAGGTGAGAGGATCACTTGAGGCCAGGAGTTCCAGACCAGCCTGGGCAACACAGTAAGACCCCATCTCTAAAAAAATGTTTGTTTTAATTAGCTAGGTGTGGTGGCTTATACCTGCAATCCCAGCACTTTGGGAGGCCAAGGCAGGAGGATCACTTGAGGCCAGGAGTTCAAGACCAGTCTGGGCAACAGAGCAAGACCCCCGTCTCTACAAAAACTTTCTTAAAAATTTAGCCAGGTGTGGTGGTTCTCACCTGTAATTCCAGCACTTTGGGAGGCCAAGGCAGGAGGATCGCTTGAGACCAAGAGTTCATGACCAGCCTGGGCAACATAGCAAGACCCTGTCTCAACAGAAAATTTAAAAGTCAGCTGGGTGTGGTGATGCAGACCTGTAGTACCAGCTACTTGGGAGGCTGAGGTAGGAAGATTGCTTGGGCCCAGGTGTTTGAGGCTGCAGTGAGCTAAGATTGCATCACTGCACTCCAGCCTGGGGGACAGAGCAAGACCCTGTCTCTAAACAAATACGTAAGTAAAGATGCAATTCCTCCCATCCAAGTTCCTCGATACTCTCCATGGATCCCTTGGAGATTAGGGTAGCTCAGTTTAAGAGACTGGCCCATTCCCTGCCCAATGGCCCTGGGGCCTCCTCAGCCCCTTGGCCCAGTACCACACAGGACCCAGCTCAGCTCACTCCTTCAGCCCCTGCCACACTGTCTACAGCCCACCCGCTCCCCCAGCCTCCACCCTCTGACCTTCCCTCCTCAACCCAGAACAAGGCACCACTCTCAGAAGCCAGGCCAGTGGCTTTCTGGATAATTTTACAGATAATTGCCCGATGCCACCATGCCGGAAGGGGCCCACACCCCAGTCCCTCTCTCCGGGATTCAAGGAGGGAGGTCCCTGCCTCCTGACACCCAGATATCACCATGTCTCACACCAGGGCTACCCGGCCATTCGTCCTGACCTATGGGGACTTCTGGACAGTCTAGATAGACACTGAGTTTGTTCCTTAGAGTCTTGTCTTCCCTTTCCTAATTTCAGTCATTGTGAGGTTACAACACAAGTGTGAAGAAGTAGCTCTTTCCCTCCCTCCCTCAACGCCATCCCTCTTTCCTTTCAACAATATTTAATGAACACCTACTATGTGCTGGGTAGTATTCTGGGTGTTAGAAGTAGAAATAGTGAACAAAATAGGCAAAATCCTTTCTGTCTTCAAGTTTATATACCGTGTAAGGTTCAGATTCAATAAACAAGTTAAGGCCAGCTGCAGTGGGTCATGCCTGTAGTCCCAGCATTTTGGGAGGCTGAGGTAGGAGGATCCCTGGAGACCAAGGATTCCAGACTAGCCTCAGCAACATAGCAAGACCTCATCTCTACAACAACTTTTTGAAAATTACCTGGGCATGGGGGTGTGCTCCTGTGGTCTCAGCTACTTGGGAGGCTGAGATGGGAGGATTGCTTGAGCCAGGGAGGCCAGGGCTATAATTGCACCGCTGCACTCCAGCCTGGGGGACAGAGTAAGACTCTGTTTCTATTTTAAAAAAAAAAAAAAGGCCGGGTGCGGTGGCTCAAGCCTGTAATCCCAGCACTTTGGGAGGCCGAGACGGGCAGATCACGAGGTTAGGAGATCAAGACCATCCTGGCTAACACGGTGAAACCCCGTCTCTACTAAAAAATACAAAAAACTAGCCGGGCGAGGTGGCGGGCGCCTGTAGTCCCAGCTACTCGGGAGGCTGAGGCAGGAGAATGGCATAAACCTGGGAGGTGGAGCTTGCAGTGAGCTGAGATCCGGCCACTGCGCTCTGGCCTGGGTGACAGAGCGAGACTCCGTCTCAAAAAAAAAAAAAAAAAGTACAAACAAATTTTAAAATAAATAAATAAATAGTATGTTAGGCAAAGCGTGGTGGCTCATGCCTGTAATCCCAGCACTTTAGGAGGCCGAGGCGGGCAGATCACTTGAGACCAGCCTGGCCAACATGGCGAAACCCTTTTTCTACTAAAAATACAAAAAATATTAGCCAGGCCTGGTGGTGGGTACCTGTAATTCCAGCCACTTGGGAGGCTGAGGCAGGAGAACCACTTGACTCTGAGAGGCAGAGGTTGCAGTGAGCCATGATCGCACCACTGCACTCCAGCCTGGGCGACAGAGCAAGATGCCGTCTCAAAAAAAAAAAAAAAAAAAAATAGTATGTTAGAAGGTGACATTCGCCGTGGGTATAAGGACAGGAAGGAGAGGAGAGTGCCAAGGTGACCTTACAGATGAAGGTGATGTTCGAACAGCCCTAAAGGAGCAGAGAGGGAACCCCACACATGTCCAGGAAACAGCAACCTGCCCAGCAAAGGGAACAACTCGGGAAAGACTCAGCCGGACAAGCAGCAGGGGCTGGGGGTGACGAGGTCACAGGCCAGGTTGGACAGGGACTTAGGGGGCCACTGGAAGGATTTGGGGTTTGCTCTGAGATAGGAGACGCTGAAGGGTTTGGGGCAGAGGAAGATGTGGTCTTGGAGCAGTTTTGTAGACAGACTTCTGGTGCAGTGAGGGGTGAGCGGGACCCGCCAGGCATTGTGAGAGCCCTGCCAGGGACGGGGGTGGTGGCAGCAGGGGAGGAGGGAGCAGAGGTCAGATTCTGGATCTCAGTTGAAGGATTTCCCGTAGGATGGATATGAAATGTGAGAGACGGAGCTGCCAAAAATGACGTAGGGAAGTCTGTTTCCTGGGGCTGCTGAAACAGAGTACCACAAACCAGGTGGCTTAAAACAACAGAAACGGGACCGGGCGCTGTGGTTCACGCCTGTCATCCCAGCACTTTGGGAAACCGAAGTGGGTAGATCACATGAGGTCAGGAGTTCGAGACCAGCCTTGCCAACATGGTGAAACCCCATCTCTACTAAAAATACAAAAATTAGCTGGGTGTGGTGGTGGGTGTCTGTAGTCCCAGCTACTCAGGAGGCTGAGGCAAGAGAATCACTTGAATCCGGGAGGCAGAGGTTGTAGTGAGCCAAGATCATGCCACTGCACTCCAGCCTGGGAGCAAGACTCCGTCTCAAAAAACACAAAACAAACAAAACAACAACAACAACAACAACAAACCCTCAGGGCTGGGCACGGTGGCTCACGCCTGTAATCCCAGCACTTTGGGAGGCCGAGGCAGGAGGATCACTTGAGCTCAGGAGTTTGAGACCAGCCTGGCCAACATAGTGGGACCTCATCTCTACAAAAAATAAACAGAAAATTAGCCGGGGATGGTGACATGCACCTATAGTCCCAGCTACTCAGGAGGCTGAGGTGGGAGAATCACTTGAGCCCAGGAGGTCGAGGCTGCAGTGAGCTATGATCATGCCACTGCACTCCAGCCTGGATGACAGAGACAGACTCTGTCTAAATAAATAAATAAGACCAGGTGTGGTGGCTCATGCCTGTAATCCCAGCACTTTGGGAGGCTGAGGCAGGTGGATCATGTGGTCAGGAGATTAAGACCATCCTAGCCAAAGATGGTGAAACCCATCTCTACTAAACATACAAAAATTAGCCAGGCGTGGTGGCGCGTGCCTGTAATCCCAGCTACTGGGGAGGCTGAGGCAGGAGAATCGCTTGAACCAGTGAGTCGGAGGTTGCAGTGAGCTAAGATCATGCCACTGCACTCCAGCCTGGCGACGGAGTGAGACTCCATCTCAAAAAAAAAAAAAAGACTTAAAGAAATGCAGAATCCCAGGCCCCACTCCAGACCTCCAAAATGAAAATTCTTGTTTACCAAGATCTCTAGCAATTCTCACGAACCTCAAAGTTTAAGAAGCCGGCTAGAGACTAGGGGTTCTCATGCCTGATTTGCACCAGAATCCCAGAGGGCCTGTGAAAACAGGTGGCTGCCCCCCTCCCCAGGTACTGCTTCAGGTATCAGGTCGAGCCCAGGGGTCTGCATTTCCAGCACGTCCCCAGGTATGGCCCACGTTCCCCCTCTGACTCTAGAATCCACCTGAGGTCTCAGACTGGGATGCATGTCCAAGTCACCCGGGGACAGCTCTCCCCACCTCCAGGGACCTGAACTGGCTCCCTTCAGTTGTCTTCACCACAGAGGACAAGTGGGATGTCCTGCTACGTCACAGCACTGCCGGTGCTGTCTGCAAGGCAAAAACGTCCATGCACAAAAGAGAGACTCCGGCCACACCATCTATGCTTGGCTATATTCAGAGCACACAAGCTTTATTTAGCAACAATGGCAGTATTTCATGAGAATGAGCTGCACAATAGCGTAAATGCCATTTCCTGCACACAGCCTGGGAGCAGATGGTTACAGAGACAGAGCCCAGACCCTACAGTCCTCCCCTGCCCTTCCCGACTGGCTCCGGCTACTTCTGGCCTCATTATTGTCCCTCTCAACCACAGCCCAGGTCGCCGGGCCAGAGGGGAGGGTGCAGGCTGGTTCCGCTGCTCAGGCTCTGTCATCCTGCTTCTTCCTTCTCAAGGCCACCTCGGGAGCAGCTGGCCGGCAAGAATGCCCCCTCACACACAGGGAACCCAAGTCCCTACTGACTCAACCTCTTCTACCACTGCAAGCCCTTTTCCTCGATGAAAGTTTCACATATGGTTTTGATAAAATAAGGTGATATTTATAAAGCCCTCTGCACTCACTAAGAGTTAGTACTGCCCCCCATCCAGCCCCCTGCCAGCAAGCAGGGACTAGGGTGGCCTTATAAAAGGTGTGGGAACTGCAGAGACAAAGCACAAAGGGAGGGTCTGGCCCAGGACCTGTCGGGGCTGCTTGGAGGTCAAATTTCCTTTCAGCTCTAGTGCAGGCTGCATCCCAGCAACCAACTTAACCGGATACAGAGCTGATCATCTGAAATCTCCATGTGACACGTGTGTTTACATTTCTGTGTGTGTGTACCTGCACACTTGTCTCTGTGAGTGTGCCCATCTATGTGTACAACCTTTAGTTATGGATGTGTAACCCTTTGTGACCTCCTTTCTAGCTCTCTGGCACAGGCAAAGCTGTCTAGGGGAGGAAACTGAGAACCCCCAATGGACAGCAGATGTGCCAATATGAGAGGAATGGGCAGTGGGCAGCCAGGCCCTCCTAGGAGTGAACATGGAACACCCCAAGCATCAAAGTCCTGCATGAAGCCTCTTCAAAGGTAGGGGGTCGAGGGGGTGGTAACCGAGTGGGGCTTACATCAGTGGCTGGACTGTACAGATGGGTGAATGGTTGGGGGCAGGGGTTACAGAGAGGGAGGGGCTTGTGGCAGTGGCTGAACTGTACAGATGGATGGATGGTCCAGGCCAACAGCCCCACGCACATGAACCCCTCCTGGTCAGTGGTGCACACCACCCTGCCAGAAACTCCAAGTCAGCAGTCAGTTAACACTGAAATGGGGTGGGGAGGGGGAGTGCTCACACAGTGTAAGTTTTGACAGACTTATAGAGGGGTGGGAGCAGCCCATGGTTCTCGCGAACAATTTCCAGGTACTCAGATGGAGTCTCCAGCAAGAAGGGCCCACAGCACATCTGGCAGCAGCACCTGACCCCAGAGGGTGGCTCCGGGTTCTTGTCAGACATGGGGGAAAAGTCAAAATCAGCCACCTATGATGAACAAAATCCCACGGGTCAATCACCCACCCACCAGGAGCCCCATCAGGTGGCCTTATGAGCTCAGCTGCCTGGCAGCAGAGTGCACAGAAACACCTTTCTGGTACCACACAGATGCAAGAGATGGACATAGGAGATAAATCAGATGGGACACAAACTTAGCAATTTTTCCTGGTTTACAGATGCCTCTTGGGCACGTCACCCCAAGTCCCAGAGCCTCGCTGTAACATCAAGACCCCCTCAAGGCATCCTGGCCTGGCCCCCATACCCTCTCTAAAGATCGTCTCTAGGCAAGGCCCAGTAGTCCAGCCTCCACCCCACTGAGTACCCACCTCCACCATATCCTTTTGCTGAGTGGCATTCCGCAGGGTCATGTACATGATGAAGGCCAACATCACAGTGATAAGTGTAGCACATGGGAAAGCAAAGACAGCCGGCTGGATTCCTGGGAATGAAAGAGGTAACATTACAGGACTGGGTAGCTGGTGCTGCAGTACTGGTTCTCAGGAAGCAAGCACAACAAACGAGGGAATGAATGGTCAAGTCCTACCAGTGATTTTTTTTACCCTCATGTACATACATCCCAACTGGGTAACCCCAATAGGTAAATCCAGGACTTCACAAAAAATAAACTGGGGTCTGGGTGGGGGGCTTTCAGCATACATCCACAAGTTACTTGATAGCAGCTTCCAAGAGTGACAGCTAAATTCCTCACCCCGTGAGTGAGGGCTGGACTCAATGACCAGCTCCTAGTGTACAGCAGATGAAAGGAGTGACAGTGCATGGCTCCTGAGTCTAAGCCATAAAGGACACCACAGCTCCTTCTTTGCTCTCTTGGGTGACACACTTTTGGGAAGGGCAGCCCTGTTGTGAGGTCACCCAATCGGCACTGCTTCAGCTTCCACCCTCTGGCAACTCCAGGCTCACCCACTAAACCTGTTGCAATGAAGTGGTATGATAGAAAGAGTCCAGTGTCTGAAGTTAATCAGTTGTGGGTTCAAATCCTAGCTCTGAACATGCTACCTCATGCCAATGTTGACCTGCAAGACTGCTAAGGTGATGCAACAAGAAGAGGGATGTTGATGTGTGTGGCATGTGGTAGGCAATCAGAAAGTGTGGGTTCCCTCTCCGTTTTCCCTCACCCTCTGCCATGAGTGTCTGTTTCCCCAGGAAAAGTTGGCATTGATTACCTGCACTGCTGTCTTCTCTGCAGAATTCAGGGGGTTCCTGATTGGAACTTGGTCCCTAGAGGGTGCTGAGAGATGCAGGGCTCAAGTCACCTGATGATGCCCACAAAGTAAGCCAGGGCCCAGATGGAGTGTAGCATCCTCTCAAGGGCCCAGAGTGGGATTGGGGAGACTCTAGAGGACAGTGACAGCTTCAGGTGCATCCATAGGACCAACCTTGAAGACAGGTGCAGCTGGCAGGGTTTGGCATGAGCTTGGGAGCACTGGGAAGAACTAACTCCTACCCCAGGACCAGAGTCTGCAAGCCTGGCTCAGGCTCAGGCTAACATCCAGTCTTGTTGCCGCCCTGTGCCTTAGTTTCCCCTTTTGTAACGTCAAAGGTAGGACTAGGTTGAGCATCTGAAAGACGGTGCCGTCAGGACCTGAGATCCTACTCTATGTAAGGATGTACTTATCTGGGGCTCCCAGAGTCCTCCATAAAAATGAACTGTAGAACCCAATGCTGTCATCAGCAAAGCCTATGACCGTAAGCCAGGGGCTGGGCCTGATGATGGTTTTGGAAGGGTACTTCAAGAAAGAAGGTTGGGCATCCTTTTCATTCATTCATTCATTCATTCATTCATTCATTCATGGAGACAGGGTCTCACTCTGTTGCTCAGGCTGGAGTGCCGTGATGCAATCTTGGCTCACTGCAGCCTCAACCTCCTGAACTCAAGTGATCCTACCACATCAGCTTCCCGAGTAGCACAGCAGAGATCTACAGGCACACGCCATACTCTCGTTCTCTCTCTATATATATACATATATACACACAGACACACACACACACATATGGATATATACACACATATAAAATATATATGTATATATATGCACATATATATACATATATATATGTTTTTTGAGACAAGAGCCTCTCTGTGGCCCAGGCTGGAGTGCAGCGGTACAATCTCAGCTCACTACAACCTCCACCTCCCAGGTTCAAGGGATTCTCATGCCTCCGCCTCCTTCATAGCTGGGATTACAGACACACACCACCACACCCAGCTAATTTTTTGGTATTTTTAGTAGAGACGGGGTTTCACCATGTTGGCCAGGCTGGTCTCGAATTCCTGACCTCAAATGATCCACCCACCTAGCCTCTCAGAGTGCTGGGATTACAGGCACGAGCCACCGTACCTGTCCTATTTTTATATGTTTTGTAGAGACAGAGTTTTACCACGTTGCCCAGGCTGGTCTCAGACCTCTGGGTTCAATCAATCCACTCACCTCAGTCTCCCAGAGTCCTGGGAGCCACCTTGCCTAGCCCAGGCATCCTTATTAATGATATGCAATGCCTTCTCCCTGGAAGACTCACTACCACACTGTGAGTTGAGTAGAGTTACCGTTGGGGATGCTGGTTTTAGCGGTGGCAACTGCTGGGGCAGGTGTGATGGTGATGAGGGAGGGAACATTGCAAGCATGGTGGCTCATTTGGTGCAAAAGTGTTTGCGCTGGGGACATGTGTGGTCTTGGAAATATGTGGGAGAAGACATTGGCATGGTTGCTTTTGGTCCACGAAGCTGGCATTGGGGCAGGTGGTGGCATGGGCTTATAGATGTGGGTAGGGGCAGGGGCCATGGAGGTGACTTGGTGAGAATGCTGATAGAGTCGTTAGTGGTGGCACTGGTGGTCTGGGAGAGTTGTCAGGACAGCATAGGGTAATGGTGGTGTCTGAGTTGGTTACAGTTGTTAGTGGTGCTGGTGTTGATGGTGGTGCTGGTAGAATCGATGGGTGCTGTACTGGGGTGGGTTGGCAGGGTTGGTTGCTGGTGGGATTGGAGAGTTTGGTGGTGGTGGTATTGGCAGTTGGCCAACGCTGATGTTGGCCATCACTGGAGTCAGTAGGGTTTATGATGGTGCTGATGTTGGTGGGCTGCGTTGCTGAGAACCTTGGTAAGGTTGGCTGGTAGGAGCGTATCGGTGGTGGTGGCAGGGTGGACAGGCTTGTGCTGCCCATGTGGCACTGAAGCAGAAGGCGAGGTGTCACTTACTGGAGGGCCACACCTGGATCCTGTGGTACTGATGCGTCTTGCTGATGACGTTCTCGGCCCGGATGCTGAAACAGTAGTCCCCAGGGTCCCTGAAGGTGTGGGTCAGGTTGTACGCTGTGCTGGCCACGGACACAGGGTGGCACTCCCCTTCCTCCAGCGGGAGGCACTCAGGCTTGAGACGCCAGCACACGGTCAGAGGAGGGCTGCAGGGAAATGCGGGCGGTTTTTAAGAAAAGGCTCAGTAAAGCGTGTCAGCACAGACCACGTCCAAGACAGGCCAGGTGGGCAGGAACTGCAGTGTCCTTTCCGGGACACGACATCAAGCTGTCCTGGACTCAGCTTCATGCATTCCAGACCAGGGGACGCTATGGTGCAAAAGAGATGGTCCCGGACCCCCAAGGGAATTCCAAGTGAATAAGGCAAACAGAGATACACACAGACTGCTCACTGGAGGCAAGATGAGGGGTCCGATGGCACACATGGTGTACCACAGAAGCCCAGGGGGATAATAGGCACGTCCCATTTTTTGGTTTTTGTTTTCTATGAGACAGGGACTCACTCTGTCACCCAGGCTGAAGTGCAGTGGCTCAATCATAGCTCAGTGCAGCCTCCAACTCCTGAGCTCAAGTGATCTTCCTGCCTCAGCCTCCCGAGTAGCTGGGGCTACAGGCACCAGCCACCATGCCCAGCTAAATTGTTTATTTTATTTTATTAGTTAATTTATTTATTTAGAGATGGAGTATCGCTCTGTTGCCCAGTCTGGAGTGCAATGTCACGATCTTGGCTCACTGCACCCTTCACCTCCTGGGTTCGAGCCTCAGCTTCCCAAGTAACTGGGACTACAGGCACACACAACCATGCGTGGCTAATTTTTGTATTTTTAGTAGAGACGGGGGTTTCACCATGTTGGCCAGGCTGGTCTCAAACTCCTGACCTTGGGTGATCTGCCCGCCTCAGCCTCCCAAAGTGCTGGGATTACAGGCGTAAGCCACTGTGCCTGGCCAATTTTTTTATTTTTTTATAGAGATGGGACTATATTGCCCAGGGTGGTCTCCAACTCCTAGCCTCAAGTATTTTCCTGCCTCAGCCTCTCAAAGTGCTGAGATTACAGGTGTGAGCCACTGCAACCAGCTTGAGAGAGTTGTTTTTTTTGTTTGTTTTGTTTTCGTTTTTGTGTTTTGTTTTGTTTTGTTTTTGACAGAGTCTCACTCTGTCACCCAGGCTGGAGTATAGTGGTATGATCTCGGTTCACTGCAACCTTTGCCTCCTGAGTTCAAATGATTCTTGCACCTCAGCCTCCCAAGTAGCTGCGACTACAGGCATGCACCACCACGTCTGGCTAATGTTTGTATTTTTTTGGTAGAGATGGGGTTTCACCATGTTGGCCAGGCTAATCTTGAACTCCTGACCTCAAGTGATCCACCCACCTCAGCCTCTGAAAGTGCTGGGATTGCAGACGTGAGCTACCATCCCTGACCATGAGAGCATTCTTAATGAGGTAGCCAGAAAAGGCTTCCTGGAGGAGGTGGCATTTCAGCAGATCTGAAAGGATAAATAAACCTTTGATGGGCGAGAAAGGATAAGGGCATTCCAAGTTATCCACATTCCACAAGCATAGGCTCAGAAGCTGGAAAATGCAGGTCCATCCAAGGAATGTGAAATGAACGTTCCAATTCCACACAACCCCAGGTCCGCAGGAAAAGCCATGCACTCGTGCCACCTCAAAGGTCAGGGCTGCTAAACCCACGGGGCTTCCCATTCTCCCCATGCTGAGCTCCTGCCTCCAACGCCCCATGAAAACTACCTCCAACCCCTAAATTATTCATAGCTCATCTTCCTCTTCCCCTGGCCTCCATTGCTCACTCTCTGTCTGGCCCAGCATCCCTCTCATGTGTCTCCGTGTGGGGACAAGAGTCCTTCAAGGGCTGGCCAGGCACAGTTGCTCATGCCTGCTCCCAGGACTTCGGGAGGCCGAGGTGAGCGGATCACTTGAGGTCAGGAGTTTGAAAGCAACCTGGCCAACATGATGAAACCCTGTCTTTATAAAAAATACAAAAAATTAGCCCGGTGTGGTGGCATGCACCTGTAATCCCAGCTACTCGGGAGGCGGAGGTTGCAGTGAGCTGAGATTGTGCCACTGTACTCCAGCCTGGGCAACAAAGCGAGACTCTGTCTGGGGAAAAAAAAAAAAAAAAAGTCCTTTAAGGCCTGGGCCCTGACCACTGATGTCTGCTGCTCTATCCATCCCAGTGGCCCCAGCGAGGGGCACCCTCGTGGACAGAATGCACTCAGCATCTGTGTCTCCTCACTTACTGAACAGCCTGGTGCTGTGCTTGCCAGGAGCCTGGGCCAGGCTGCCTTGAGTAGACTGGCTGATGAGAATCCCCTGGGAGGATCTGCTTCTGTGTCATGTGGGGTGCTCCACCCTGCACACAGAACCCTTGGAAGCAGTGGCTCTGTCTTGTCTACTCTGTTCTAGAAGCTTCCAGAAAAGCACCTGGTCCAAAGCAGATGCTCAATCAACTTCTGCTGGCTGGTGCAAGCTCCCCTGTGCAGGCTGGAGGGCAGAACAGATTTGGTGGGGTTTTTTTGTTTGTTTTTTGTTTTGGACAGAGTCTTGCTCTGTTGCCCAGGCTGGCGTGCAATGGCAGGATCTCAGCTCACTGCAACCTCCATCTCCCAGGTTCAAGCAATTCCCCTGCCTCAGCCTCCCAAGTAGCTGGGATTACAGGCATGAGTCACAGCGCTCGGTCCCAGAAAAGGCTTTTGAAGTCAGGCATTCCAAGGGGCTTAGAAGAATAAGAAACATCTGGACATGTAATGGGAGAGAAGAGAACTCTGAAAGAACCACAAGGGCAAAGGCCTGGGAGCTGGAAAATAGGCCACGTTATACACAGAGGGCTTCTCAACAGGAGGGTTCCCTCCCAACCTTTGTCTCCACGCCCACGGTGAATACAGCCCCAAAAGGTAGGTCCTCCCTCCCTGGGACCTCAAGAATTGAGCTGAGGGCTAGGTGTGGTGGCTCATGCCTGCAATCCCAGCACTTTGGGAGGCCAAGCTGGGAGGATCGCTTGAGCTCAGGAGACTGAGACCAGCCTGGGCAACTTAGGGAGACCCCAGCTCTACAAAAATTAAAAATTGGCCAGGCATGGTTGTGCCCATCTATAGTTTCAGCCACCCAGGAGGCTGAGGCAGGAGAATCATTTAAGCCTGGGAGGTCAAGGCTGCAGTGAGCTGTGACGGTGCCACTGCACTCCAACCTGAGTGACAGGGCGAAACTCTGTCTCTAAAAAATACAAATAAAGGCCGGATGCAGTGGCTCATGCCTATAATCTCAGCACTTTAGGAGGCCAAGGCGGGTGGATTACTTGAGGTCAGGAGTTGGAGACCAGCCTGGGCAACATGGTGAAACCCAATCTCTACTAAAAATACAAAAATTAGCTGGGCATCGTGGAGTGTGCCTGTAATCCCAGCTAGTCGGGAGGCTGAGGCAGGCAGGAGAATCGCTTGAACCAGGGAGGCAGAGGTTGCAGTGAGCCAAGATTGCGCCACTGCACTCCAGCCTGGCAACAGAGTGGGAGACTCTGTCTCAAAAAAAAATTAAAAATAAAAATAAAGACTGGAGCTGAGCCCATGCTGTCTCCCCATGGCCCAGCCTCAGGACAGAGTGGCACTGCCCTGCCACGAGGTCCCAGACCTGGGGCCCGTCACAGAGTGAAACACACTTGGGGTCACCATGAAAGTGGATGTGCAGAGCCCACAGGGCACCCACAGTGCACTCCGGAGTTCACTTACCTCCCCAGGAAGTTCAAGGTCACGGTCATCTTTTGGAAGGTCTGAATTAGGGTAGGCCCCAAGACTTGGATGCCTCGAAGGGTTTCTGTAAGGCCGAGAGAACCCCGTTAGACCTGGTAGCTAAGGATTGCTGTCAAGGCTCCCAGGGCACAGGGTAGTGTGACCGCTACCCTGTCCTCCCCTCTGCCCTCTCCTAAGAGCAGGTCACAGGTCTGTGCAGGGTTCCTCTGGGTCCTGCCCTTCCCTGTCAGCAGCAGGTGCTGGAGCCGGCTCAGAGGGAGGAATTTGGAAAAGGTGGGCAAACACACGACTGTCCTGCTCATTGCCAAGTCATTGTCCGTGTCATACAGGGCAGCACCATCCCATCAGCAAAAACCAAGACATCTTCCACAGCTGCCCAAGGGCTCCATCTTGCCAAAGCCGGGGAGAGATGGAGACGGTCCCACCCTGGGGTGAGCCTCGGTGGGAGGCCGATGGGGCCGGGGAACAGGGAATGGCATGGACTGGCCAGTTCACAGTAGACAGCTGATCACTGACTCAGGCTCTGGGTGCTCAGGCTCAGGCTCAGGCGGCCCCGGGCGCGAGGGCCGCTCAGCCACTGCACAGCCACATGATCCCATCTGCAGCCTGCAGCGCCCTGTCTGAAACAGGGGTAATGATAGACACCCCTCAGAGGTCTGTGGGGCTCCAGGAGACAGGATGTGGGTCCAGCCCGGAGCCACTGTGATCTGTGCATATGGTGACCCCACTCTGGAACGCCCAGACCGCATCAGCCTGCCTGGACACCCACCCTGCAGCTTCAGGGAGGCGGAGAAGTCCCCGGTCTTCTGCATCACACCCTTCGTGGCATCCGGCTTCACCTCTTCCCACTCTGCCACCACTTTGAGCTTCACGGTGAAGGTCCCGATGATGGAATAGTTATAATAGACCACGGAGTCTTCAGTCACCATCTGGGTCCTGTTAGGAGACAGGGAGGAGAGAGGAGGAAAACAGCAGATGATTGCTTCCCCTTCCTGTAACTCAGAAGTGATTCATGGGATTGCCAGAGTCAGGGGAGGCTGTGCAGTGATACTCCCAGCTACCAGTGAGCACACCTGTCATTACAGGGCTCCAGGTCAGCTGACCCATTTCCCAGATGAGGAAACCAAGGCCAGAGAGGGCCTAAAATTCAGGAGAATTACAAATTTCTCACATTAGCCAAAGTTCAAGGGCTCAACAGCCCCATGTGGTAAAGACAGAAGAATTTTTTGTCAAAAATTTTTGGTTTTTGTTGGTTTTGGTTTTTGAGACAGGGTCTCACTCTGTCACCCAGTGGTACAATCATGGCTCACTGCAGCCTTGAATTCCTGGGCTTGAGCAATCCGCCCGTGTCAGCCTCCCAAGTAGCAGGGATCACAGGCGCGTACCACCGTGCCCGGCTAATGTATGATTTTTTGTAGAGACAAGGTCTCGCTATGTTGCCCAGGCTGGTCTTGAACTCCTGTGTTCAAGTGATCCTCTGACCTCAGCCTCTCAAAGTGCTGGGATTACAGGCATGAGCCACTGTGCTAAGCCGAGGGTTCTGTTGGACAAAGCTGCCATCCAGATTTTTCAAGTAAATGATCTTTTCTGCAAATTGTCTGCTTTCCAATATTTTATACTGTCCCCTCTCCCTCTCCCTCTCTCCCTCTCTCCCTCTCTCCCTCTCTCCCTCTCTCCCTCTCCTTCTCCCTCTCTTTCATTTTTAGAGATAAGGTTCTGCTCTATTGCCCTGGCTGGAGTGCTGTGGTGCAATCAGATCACTGCAGCCTCTGAACTCCTAGGCTCAAGCAGTCCTCTCACCTCAGCCACCCGAGTAGCTGGGACTACAGGCACGCGCCACCATCCCTGGCTAATGTTTGTATTTTTTGTAGAGACGAGGTCTCCCTATGTTACCCACACTAGTCTCGAATTCCTGGGCTCAAGTTTTCCCCCACCTCTTGGCCTCTCAAAGCACTGGAATGACATGTGTGAGCCACCATAGGCCTGCACTTATTTTCTTAACTTTACTGAGTAAGTTAGAACTTTCAGAATAATATTGATGGACCCTGATAAGGAGCACCCTTGTCTTATTCCCGCATCTGGAGCCAGGTTCCCCCAGCATCTCAATGCAATGATTCCCCAAAGGCATTTGACCACAAGTCACTTTTGTCACCAAGAATTAGAGAATCTACATTCCACGTTTTGCCAGGCACGGTGACTCACCCCGTAATACCAACACTGTGGGAAGGCAAGGTGGGAGGATTGCTTGAGCCCAGAAGTTCGAGACCAGCCTGGGCAACTTGGCAAAACCCCGTCTCTACAAAAAATACAAAAATTAGCCAGCCGTAATGTTACAGGCCTGTGGTCCCAGTTACTCAAGAGGCTGAGGTGGGGGGATCTCGAGGTCAGGAGGCAGAGGTTGCAGTGAGCCATGATCACGCCACTGCACTCCAGCCTGGGCAACAGAGTGAGACTCCGTCTCAAAAACAAAAACACATCTTTTTTTTTTTTTTTTTTTTTCTTCTTCCCAGACAGAGCCTTGCTTTGTCACCTAGGCTGAAGTGCAGTGGCATGATCTTGGCTCACTGCAACCTCCTCCTCCCTGGTTCAAACAATTCTCCTGCCTCAGCCTCCTGAGTAGCTGGGACTACAGGCACGCGCCACCATGCCCAGCTATTTTTTTTTTTTTTTTTTTTTTTTTTGTATTTTCAGTAGAGATGAGGTTTTGCCATGTTGGCCAGGCTGGTTTTGAACTCCTGACCTCAAGTGATCTGTCCACCTTAGCCTCCCAAAGTGTGGGATTATAGAAGTGAGCCACTGCGCCCAGCCATAAACAAAATCATATTCTAAGTTCTCTACTCAGTATAATGTTGTTAGTTCCAGCAACTTCTTTTTCTAGTTTATTGATATTACATTGAATGTTCATTTCTGTTCATACTAACACTTTTTTGGCATCTAAAGAGATGATCTGGCCGGGCACGGTGGCTCACATCTGTCATGCCAGTGCTTTGGGAGGCTGAGGTGGGAGGATGGCTTGAGACCAGGAGTTCAAGACCAGCCTGGGCAACATAGCGAGACCCCATCTCCAAAAAACATTTAAAAAAAAAAGTCATGTGTGGTGGTCCACGCCTGTGGTCCCAGCTACTCAAGAGGTCAAGGCAAGAGGATTCCTTGAGCACGAGAGATTGAGGCGGCAGTGAGTCAGGTTTGTGCCACTGCACTCTAGCCTCGGTGACAGAGCAAGACCCTGTCTCTAAAAAAGCGGGGGAGGGAAACCAAGCACAGTGGCTCACACCTGTAATCCCAATGCCTTGGGAAGCTGAGATGGGAGGATCTCTTGAGCCCAGGAGTTCAAGACCAGCCTGTGCAACATAGTAAGACCCTGTCTCTACAAAAAAGTTTTAAAATTAGCAGGGCGTAGTGGTGCGTGCCTGTAATCCAAGCCACTCAGGAGGCAGAGGTGGGATGATTGCTTGAGGCTGGGAGGTCAAGGTGGCAGTGATCTATAGTCACACCACTGTACTCTAGCCTGAGTGTTTGACCACAGGTTGCTTTTGTCACCAAGAGTTAGAAATTCACATTCTAAGTTTTGCTGGGCACAGTGGCTCACCCCTGTAATCCCAACACTTTGGGAGGAAGGAAGGAAGGAAAAGAAGGAAGGAGTTGGGGAGGGAAGGGAGGGAAGGGAGGGAGTAGGGCCAAGCACTGTGGCTCCCACCTGTAATCCCAGCACTTAGGAAGGCAGAGGCGGGAGGATCACTTGAGCCCAGGAGTTCAGCACTAGCCTGGGCAACATAGCAAGACCCTGTTCTCCTCCACAAAAAAGGGGAAAAAAGACAAAAAGTTAAAAGGGAGGAATAAAGAGAAATGAAGCCAGAGCACCCGCGTTCTGCCTCGTATCTAGCAACGGCTGGCTGGGTACCCTTCAAGGTCAAATGGGAAAAAGTCCTATGCACCTTGACCTTCCTTAAATGGCTGTTTTGGGCACCTATGGCCTCCTTTATCAGGTGAAGACACCACAAAGGCAGGGCTAGTGACTGATTCACCGGTGTTCCCCAGGATCCCCAAGCGTGGCAGAGAGGAGGTGCTTGAAAGATGTTTGAAGGGAGACAGAGTGAGCAGGGAAAGGTGAGGAGCTTCAGGTGGGTCCAGTGGCTCACACCTGTAATCGCAGCACTTTGGGAGGCTGAGGTGGGAGGATCACTTGAGGTCAGGAGTTCGAGACCAGCTTGGCCAACATGGTGAAGCCCCATCTCTACTAACATAATAATAATAATAATAATAATAATAATAAATAAATTAGCTGGGCATTATGGCTCACACCTGTAATCCCAGCATGAGGCCAAGACAGGCAGATCACTTGAGGCCAGGAGTTCGAGACTAGCCTGACCAACATGGTAAAACCCCATCTCTACAAAAAAAAAAAAAAAATTAGCCAGGTATGGTGGTGCAAGCCTGTACTTCCAGCTACTGGGGAGACTGAGGCAGGAAAATCGCTTGAACCCAGGAGGCAGTGGTTGCAGTGAGCCAAGATGGCACTACTGCACTCCAGTCTGGATGACAGAGCAAGACTGCATCTCAAAAAAATAAATAAATAAATAAAAGTGGGGAGATTCAGAGTACCCTGCACAGTGCGTGAGACGGTGGGGCACCAGTGACAGCCGTAGGGCCTGCAGAGGGGTAGGGACCTACCCGTCCCCAAAGTCCCAGCTGTAGAGAAACACGGCGGTCTTGAGGAAGTTGCTTGGGTCGTGGAGAAGGAAGGAGACTTTCAGGACCGTCTTAGTGAGATAGGAGCTGGGCCAGGGCAAGGAGGTGTTCTGGGTGACAACAAGGTCCCCAACAAGGAACTCTGAGAGAGAGAGAGACACGGGAGGATGAGTCTTGGAGATTCAGGGATCAGGGAACCACATAGAGACCTCGTGGGCAGCTGTCAAAGCCACCACTTCCCTGGCCAGACCTTCTGGCTGTCAGATCTAGGCAGGGAGAGGGGACCCCCCCCTTCCCCAAAGACCCCTGAACACAGAGGCCTCCACACCCTCCCCCTGCTGCATGAACACTGCTGAACACCAGAGGACTTTGTCACATTCACTATTTTCTCTCCTGTCCCCTCTCACCAGGACCCTGAACTTTCTGGCACAAAAGATGGCCAAGGTCAGAAGGAAATGCATGGGCAGGCGCTGTGGCTCACGCCTGTAATCCCAGCACTTTGGGAGGTCAAGGCAGGTGGATCACAAGGTGGGGAATTCAAGACCAGCCTGGCCAAGATGGTGAAACCCCGTCTCTACTAAAAATACAAAAATTAGCTGGGTGTGGTGGCGGGCACCTGTAGTCACAGCTACTTGGGAGGCTGAGGGAGGAGAATCGCTTGAACCCAGGAGGCAGAGCTTGCAGTGAGCCAAGATCGTGCCACTGCACTCCAGCCTGGGTGACAGAGCAAGACTCCGTCTCAGAAAAAAAAAAAAAAAGAAAAAAGAAGGAAATGTATAAGCTTTGAAAGGAACTTTTGGGAAATATTTCAGAATGTCAGGTGACCCTAGAAAAATTAGCAGTTCCAATGGCCAGGCACAGTGGCTCACGCCTGTAATCCCAGCACTTTGGGAGGCGGGCGGATCATGAGGTCAGGAGATCAAGACCATCCTAACACGGTGAAACCCCATCTCTACTAAAATACAAAAACAAAATTAGCCGGGCATGGTGGCGGGCGCCTGCAGTCCCAGCTACTTGAGAGGCTGAGGCAGGAGAATGGCGTGAACCTGGGAGGCAGAGCTTGCAGTGAGCCGAGATCACACCACTGCACTCCAGCTTGGGTGACAGAGCAAGACTCCGTCTCAAAAAAAAAAAAAAAAAAAAAAGAAAGAAAAAAAGAAAAAGGAAAAATTAGCAGTTCCACTGATCACAACTCCAAAAAAAAAAAAAAAAAAAAGAAAAAAGAAAAAAGGAAAAATTAGCAGTTCCACTGATCACAACTCCACATGCTGGGACCACTGTCCTGTGTCTACTTCTCTAAAAAGAAAAAAAACTAGTGAGGCGTGGTGGCTCACACCTGTAATCCCAGCACTTTGGGAGACCGAGGTGAGCAGTTCACTTGAGGCCAGGAGTTCGAGACCAGCCTAGCCAACATGGCAAAACCCTGTCTCTACTAAAAATACAAAAATTAGCTGGGCATGATGGCCAGCACCTGTAGTCCCAGCTACTCCAGAGGCCGAGGCATGAGAATTGTTTGAACGGGGAGGTGGAGGTTGCAGTGAGCCAAGATCACGCCACCACTCCAGCCTGGGCAACAGAGGGAGACTGTCTCAAAAATAATAATAATAATAATTAATTAATTAAAATTAGTAAAAGTGGAAAGGGAGGCATGTTCAATAGACCTCATTTGGAAAACATTCAAACATAAAATAAGAAGCTAACTACCATTCAACTCTACCACTGTTGCCATTTTGAAGTGTGACAAAGTATTTGCTCGTGTGTTTAATATACACATATATTAAATACAGATTATTGGGTTAGTTAGACAATTCTGTGCTTTGCTTTTTTAATATGTAATTTTACATGCATGTGTGTTTACCCATGGCATTACAAACTCATTGTAAGGGTCACTGTTAATAGTGGTATAAATGATTTCATTATATTTAGCCAGTATCCTCACGGTTGCTCACTTAGCTTGTTTATCTCTTCTTTTGCTATTATAAACGCTACTGCAATGAACATCTTCACGCGTAAGGCATGACCCAAATGCAGGTTTATTTCCTGATGATAAATTCATTATTAGACTGTAAAGTCCAAAGGGGCAAAGGGGCATCTTCTCTTGGAATGTGAGACAGACAGAGACAAAGAGACATAGAGACAGAGATAAAGAGACAGACAGAGACAAAGAGACAGAAAGAGAGACAGAGACAAAGACAGAGAACAGAAAGAGAGAGACAGGGAAAACAGAGAGAGAGAAGAGACAGACAGAGGCAGAGATAGAGAGAACAGAGAGGACAGAGAGAGACAGAGACAGACAGAAGAGAAAAGTAAGAGGGGAGAAAGAACCAGTGAATGACCGCAAGACTACAATAATTTCTTTTTCTTTTTTTTTTTTTTTTTAAGATACAGTCTCACTCTCTCCCCCAGGCTGGAGTGCAGTGGCACGTTCTCGGCTCACTGCAACCTCTGCCCCTCACGTTCAAGCAATTCTGCTTCAGCCTCCTATATAGCTGGGATTATAGGTGCCCATCATCATGCCCCACTAATTTTTGTATTTTTAGTAGAGATGGGGGTTTGTCATGCTGGCCAGGCTGCTCTCAAACTCCTGATCTCAGGCGATCCACCTGCCTCGACCTCCCAAAGTGCTGGGAGCCACCGCGCCCAGCCGAGACTACAATAATTTCTAACCATCAGTACCTATTGACCAGCCGCTCTCCACAGGGTTGTATTAATGTATACCCCCAGCAGCAAGAGGCGTCCATTTTAGCACAATACCTGCTGGGGGGAATCACTGCGATTTTCAGATCCTTTCTAACTCAGTTGACCCAGGGAAGGAACCTATGGGCCTAATCTGCATTGATCTGATTCCTAGCGAAGCTGGATGTTTTTCTCTGCACCAAGGGTTTGAAGGCAAACTAACAAACAGGAGCGACCCTCACCTGTGATGGGGAGGACCACGAAGCCCCTGGCCACAGGCTGGCACATCCAGCAGTCAGCGGCAGTGACCCAGACGGAGACCGGGAAGTCCCCGGGCACGTGGCCGACCACATGGATGGTGGAGCTGAGACCTTTCTCCGTCTTGCCAGTGAGCACCAGCGGGGTGTGTATCCAGTGGAAGCGGTAGAGGTGGGTGTCGGCGGGCAGGGCCAGGCTGCTGTTGTCTTTGGCCACCAGGCTGGCCGAGATGGTCACCTCCGCTCCCGTGGTGGCAGGGCTATCGGTGGTGAGATTGAGTTCATACAGGCCTAGAAGCCCAGAAACAAAGACTGTGTTTATGGAGGGTGTGTGGCAAGGAGCCCCACAGCCACCTCTGGGCTGGCATCAACTATTCTATTTCCCAGGTGGAGAAACTGAGGCTCAAGCAGCTCAAGTGACTTGCCCAAGTGTCACTCAGCCAATTCGACATCAAACTGAGGTTCAAACCTGGGTCCCACTGACTCCAAATAACAGTCTTTTCAGTGTTATCTCCCCTTCCTTCCTTCCCTCCCTCCCTCCTCTCACTCCCTCCCTCCTTCCTTCATCCCTCCCTCCCTCTCTCCCTTTCTTTTCTTCCTTCCTTCCTTTCTGTTTTTCTTTCTTTCCTTCCTCCCTTCTTTCCTTCCCTCCCTCCCTCCTCTCACTCCCTTCCTTTTCTTCCTCCCTCCCTGTCTCCCTCCTTTCTTTTCTTCCTTCTTTCCTTTCTTTCTGTTTTTCTTTCTTTCCTTCCTTCCTTCCCTTCCTTCCTTCCCTCTCTCTTTCTTTCTTTCCTTCTTTCTTCCTTTTTCCTTCCTTCCTTTTCTTTCTTTCCTTCTTTTCTTCCTTTCTTCCTCCTCTCTCTCTCTCTCTCTTTTCCTTTCTTTATCTGGATCTCACTCTGTCACCCAGACTGGAGTACGATCATCACAGTTCACTGCAGCCTCCACCTTCCAGAATCAAGTGATCCTCCTGCCTCAGCCTCCCAAATAGCTGAAACCGCAGGCACATACCACCACACCCAGCTAATTTTTTATTTTATGTTTTGTAGAGATGGGGGTCTATGTTGCCCAGGCTGCCCAAATTATATTTTCTTTTCATGCCAGCCAGGCAGGGCCTTGGTTAGTGGCTACTCTTCTGGGCAGGCCACACAGAGAGCATTTCTACCGTTCCCCAGAATCCTTGTGGTTTTGTTTTGAGACAAAGTCTCCCTCTGTCATCCAGGCTGGGGTTGCAATGGCATGATTATAGCTCACTGCAGCCTCAAACTCCTGGGCTCAAGTGATCCTCCCACCTCAGCCTCCCGAGTAGCTGAGACTTGTAGGTCCAAGTCACCATGCCTGGTTGATTTTTTCTTTTTTTTTTTTTTTTTTTTTTTGTAGAGACGGGATCTCACTATGTTGCCCAGGCTGGTCTCGAACTCCTGGCTTCAACCACTCCTTCTGCCTTGGCCTCCCAAAGTGCTGGGATTACAGGCATGAGTCAGCGAGCTCGACCACATTGCCCAAAGATCTACTGGACAGTGCTGGTCTTATGCCTCTGGATTCGTCCTCTCCTCACTCCTCCCTCTCTGTCATGGTTAAAGGATCCAGCTGTCGGCCAGGCACCATGGCTCACACTTATAATCCCAGCACTTTGGGAGGCCGAGATAAGCTGATTACTTGAACTCAGGAGTTCGAGACCAGCCTGGCCAACATGGTGAAGCCCCGTCTCCACTAAAAATGCAAAAAATTAGCGGGGCGTGGTGGTGCATGACTGTAATCCCATCTACTCAGGAGGCTGAGGCAAGGGAATCACCGGAACCCAGAGGCAGAGATTGCAATGAGCCGAGATCAAGCCACTGCACTCCAGCCTGGGCGACAGAGTGAGACTCCGTCTCAAAAACAAAAGAAAACAAATGATAAAAATACTTCCCTGTACCTCTCACCCCCTCAGCTCTCTCCCAACAGCCTGAGTCCACTGTTGTCACAACTCCACGTGGGAACGAAGGTGTCTTTACCTCTCCTACTACGCTTCAAAATCCTTTAGAGCAGGGGTCATCGCCATCGTCCCTGTGACCAGCACAACGCTTGGCACATAGCAGGTGTTTGGTACTGCTGTTGCCAAGGGGCACCTGGAGAGCAGGTGCAGCAGAGGGACCAGCCCACCTGGCCCGGCCCCGGGAGACTGTTCACCCGGGCAGCACTGACTGAGTCCCTTCCGTGGACCCCATCCCTACTGTGTTGGGAGGACCCAGAAATGCAGAACATGCCCCTCCCCTAAAGGACCTCACAGGAGACCTGCTGGGCTTTCAACAGGAAAGGCTGGCCAGGCGCAGTGGCTCACACCTGTAATTCCAGCACTTTGGAAGGCCGAGGTGGGTGGATCACCTGAGGTGGGGAGTTGGTGACCAGCCTGACCAACATGGAGAAACCCCTGTTTCTGCTAAAAATACAAAATTAGCCAGGCGTGGTGGCATGCGCCTGTAATCCCAGCTACTCGGGAGACTGAGGGAGGAGAATCGCTTGAACCCAGAAGGCAGAGGTTGCAGTGAGTCAAGATCGTGCCACTGCACTCCAGCCTGGGCGACAAGAGTGAAACTCTGTCTCAAAATTTTTTTTAAAAAGGCCAATTATTTTACCTTGTGGTTTTAAACTATTTCAACTATTTTACCTTGTTTTTCTTTCACAAATTTTCATTAGAACCCTTACCCTCTCTCTGCCATGCTATTATGAAGGGGGAGGGGGATGAAAACTGTTGGATAATATTCAACCCCCTTAGCTGCCCACGTCCCACCTGTCCCTCGACAAGTCTCCAATCTGGGTCCTTTTACAGTTCCCAAAATGTGACCGAAAGGTGGGTGCTGGCCTTCTGGCACCGGGGATGTGGGGAAAGTAGATGCACGACCGGGTGGGCACAAGGTCCCCCCGCAAGTGTCCTCAGGAACCTGTCAACTCCGGGTCCATTTTGGGAAATCACTTCCAGAAGAAATAGCACCCTGGTCTCCCGGGCTCTAAAATCGCATCTCGGTCAGGCACGGTGGCTCATACCTGTCATCCCAGCACTTTGGAAGGCCGAGGTGGGCGGATCACCTGAGGTCAGGAGTTTGAGACCAGCCTGGCCAATATGGTGAAACCCTGTCTCTACTAAAAATACAAAATTAGCCAGGCGTGGTGGCAAGCACCTGTAATCCCAGCTACTCGGGAGGCTGAGGCGGGAGAATCACTTGAACCCAGGAGATGGCAGTTGCCATGAGCTGAGATCGCACCACCGCACTCCAGCCTGGCCAAAAAGAGCGAAACTCCATCTCAAGTAAATCAATCAATCAATCAAACAAAATCACATCTCCCCAAAGCCAGTACCAACAGGGTGGAAAACCCCTCTAGATGAGGTGGCATTTTAAAGTAAAAAGGCTGCCTATGCTGTGCTCCCTGGGGGCTGGGGGTTGTGTTTTGATGACTGATCCTAATACATCCCCACCTCCCTGCCTCGTCCTCCCCTCCCTTAGCAGGTGCATGGTCCCCAGAGATCTGAGAGATGCGCGGGCCACCCTCGCACAGTTTCCAGGGTAGGGCTAGCCCGGGAAGTAGAAGTAGGAATCGAGGATGCAAGGGGCGCTCCCTCCAGTGCTCAGGCAACTCTGAGATTATTTTTTTTTCAGCTGCATCTCATTCATTTCGAAGCAACATCACCTGTCCCCGTGGGGGACTCCGGCTCCAGCTTTCCTCAGGACCACATCACACCTTCACTGCTTTGGCCCACATTACACATTTCCCTTTCTTTCAGGGCAATTTCTTAAATTATAAAGGCATTTGAGGCCGGGCCTAGCCAGCTCACACCTGTAATCCCAGCTCTTTGAGGCCAGAAGGTCACTTGAGCCCAGGAGTTTGAGATCAGCCTGAGCAACACAGTGATACCCAGTCTCTACAAAAAATAATTTAAAAAATTAGCCAGGCATGGTAGCATGCACCTGTTGCCCCAGCTACTTGGAAGGCTGAGGCAGGAGGATCTCTCCAGCCCAGGAGTTCGAGGTTGCAGTGAGCTATGACGGCACCCCTGCACTTCAGCCTGGGCAACAAAGTGAGAAACCCTGTCTAAAAAAATTAAATAAATAAAAATCAAGTCATTTAAGTCAAGATGCTGAGAGCTGGTCACTTCTGAGAGAATGCTGGCATTGAAAAGGGGACCTGCAGTGTCTTAACCCCAAAGAGGGAATTCCAGGTGCTGTTGTGGGAGCTTTTTCACGCAAATACAGTGTGTATATCACATTGAGGGACTTGAAGCCCGTGTGGGCTACTGCTGCTGCCTGAGGCCACCCAGCCAGTCTGTACCACCCTGGTTAGGCTCTGCTCTCCCTCCCCTTTGACTGGGAGGCAGCATTTGACCAGGCTGTGGACAGAGAGGTGCATGGATGAGAGACCACCTCCTCCCTTATCCCCCTAACTCCTGGCACCCTCCTCTCCTTCCCATCCCCTACCCACCACGCCAGCCCAGGAGCGTGGGCCTGAGCGAGGCTGGCAGGTGGCAGGGACATTCGGCTGCATGCTAATGGCCAAACAGCATCTGCAGTGAGACAGGCGCATGTCATCACGCAGATCGGTTGCCAGGGGAATGGATCAGGAGGGCAGCCGGCTGGGACTGGGAGGGGGGATTGCGGGGGCAGGGAGGGGCTGTGTCTGCTGCAGACGTTGCTGCAGACACTGGCCCAGCTCATGGGAGCCCGCCCCCCCGCTCCACCACCACCTGCCGGCTCCAAGGACACTTTTTTCTCAGTCTATTTTTTCAAAATCAGTTTTGTCACAGCCCCTGGGTGATGCTGCCCCTGTTCCTCAGGGGTCTCAGGGATGGCCAGGACATCCAGGGTGGAAATGGACCAGGAAGCCTTTGCCAAATGTGGCCGAAGGAACCAATCACAGGGCCTGCTGCTCCACCCATCAAAATCATCTTTCCAGGCCGGCGCGGCAGCTCATGCCTGTCATCCCAGCATTTTGGGAGGCTGAGGCGGGAGGATCACCTGAGGTCAGAGGTTCGAGACCAGCCTGGCCAACATGGCGAAACCCCACCTCTACTAAAAATACAAAAATTAGACAGGTGTGGTGGCTGGTGACTGTAATCCCAGCTACTTGGGAGGCTGAGGCAGGAGAATTGCTCGAACCCAGAAGGTGGAGGTTGCAGTGAGCCAAGATTATGCCACTGCACTCCAGCCTGGGTGACAGAGCAAGACTCCATCTCAAACAAACAAAAAATTCATCTTTCCATGTTTGGGAGTCCAGGTGACATGACCTTGGGGTATAGAGCAGCCAAGGCAGAGGTTTAGGGGACTCCACGGGCCCCCCAAGTCACCCAGAGCTGAAGGGGCAAAAGCAAAAAGAGATGGGGCAACCACCCCGAAGCTTGGCTCATGGAAGAAACACCTACCTTTTCCAACAACACAGCATGTGTGGCCCTGAACATTCTAGAAAATGGCTACCTCAGTCCTTTCACACAGAATATGCAGACTACCCAAAACACTTCAGAAGAGTACCTCTAAAGTCTGGGTAACGCAAGCCAGAATTAATTAACAGTCCAGTACATGGACTTCTGATTTACAAATCCCTGATTCATGCAGACTCCAGAAAGGGGAAGGGTAGAAAATTCTACCCCACGGGTCAGGGAGAAGATACGTTTCCCAACTCCACTCCCAGCCACTGTGATTTTGACCACATCGAGGGTGCAATTGGCTAGAATGGGAACCACACATGATTTCCAAATAATTCACTTTTGTTATTTTCTTTTGTTCTTTTTCTTTTGCAATTGAGGACACATTGAAAATCTCTGGACACAAATAAACCTGATGGACAAGAGATCCCTTTTCTGTATTTCCAGGAGGAAATAGGTGTTCTTGTCCAAACGCAATGCCCATAAAATTCGTCTAATTCATCCCTGAGTTGCAGGTTTTCTTTTACCTCGTGGTTTTTCTTTCACAAATTTTCATTAGATCCCTTGCTCGCTTTCTCTACTGCTCTTTTATGAGGGGGGAGGGGGATGAAAAGCGTTGGATGGTATTCAACCCCCTTAGCTACCCACGTCCCACCTGTCCCTCGACAAGTCTTCAATCTGGGTCCTTTGATGGTTCCCAAAATGTAGCAGAGAGGTGGGTGCTGGCCTTCTGGCGGTGAGGAAGTGGGGGCAGTAGACACACGACCCTGCCCCCCCCCACACACACACCCCGCCCACACACACACACCAGCAACCTGTCAGCTCTGGGTCCATTTTGGAAATCACCACCAGAGACGAAATGGCAGCCTGGCCTCCTGGGCTCCAAAATCGCATCTCCCCAAAGCCAGCACCAACGGGGTGAAAAACCCCTCTAGATGCGGTGACATTTTAAGGCAAAAACGTTGCCCATCCTGTGCTCCCTGGGGGCCTGGGGGATTGTGGTGCGATGATGGACCCTGGCGCATCCCCGCCTCCCTGCCTCATCCTCCCCTCCCTTAGCGGGTGCATGGTCCCCAGGCATCGACGGGTGCGCCGGCCACCCCCGCGCGGTTTCCAGGGCAGGGCCAGCCTGGGGGGGGGGGGGGGGGAAGCAGGAATCCAGGGAGTGCGGGGAGCCCCCTGCAGTGCCCAGACGACTTTGGGAGAAAAGGGTGAAAGGAGAGGGGAGAGGGCTCTGCAGTGGCCTCAGCCGAGGAGGGAGATGCGCTCAGGGCGCACGGTGCCACCTCCGCAATCCCGGATCCCGGGCCCACCCGCCCGCGGAGACGGTTCCAGGCCCCGGGCGGGCTGCCCAGCGCCTTACCTGCGGCCACCCCTGCCGGGGCCCAGGGCAGGAGGCAGGAGAGCCATAGGATGCGGCCGAGGCGCGACCACACTGCCCGGGCCATGGCGGGGCCCGGAGCGGGAGAAACGTGGGGCGGACGCGGAGGCAATGCAGCTCGAGCTGGAGAACGGCGGCGGCCGCTCCTCGTGGCGCGCAGCGCTGGCGGTGCGGGGAGGTGCGGGCGCCGTGCTCGCTCGTCCTCGCCGGGGGACGCTCTGTCGCTGCGCGCCGCCGCCGCCCACAGCCCGCTGCGCGACCCCGGCCCACGTCAGCCTAGCCGCGCGCCCTCCTCCTCCTCCTGCCGCCCCTTGCTCCCGCGTCCCGCTCCACCGCCTGGTCCTCCCTCCCCGCGTCTCTCCCCACGGCCGCGCCCCCTGCCCTGCAGGAGTCCACGATCGCCCCTCCCAGTTTGCCTCCCCGCTAGGGGTTCCCGAGCTCCCTTCCTGCGCCCTGGCTCCTCCCCGCACCGCCACCCTCCAACCCAAATCCACCCCCGGCCGCATCCTTCCCCTCCACTACCCGAGTCCACGCCCCCCGCACCTGCATTTTTCCCTTCCCCCGAGCCCCTCCCCGCCATGGACGATACCGCCCACTGACTCCGTCCCCAGGGGTGTGAGCTGCGCTGCAAGCCGCCTGCAGGTCCCTTGGGGCTCTCCTCCAAGTGCCTTCTCTCTGCACGCTCGTGGCTCCGAGATGCTGCTCCTCATTCAAGAACTGTTGAGTGCTAAGGTGTGCCAGGCGCTGGGCGAAGGCCTCGAAAGGGCGAAAGACCTCGAAATTCCCCTTGCTGTTGCTGCTGCTGCTTCTCTTCTTTTCTTTTCTTTTCTTTTTTTTTTTTTTTTAATCTTGAGACAGTCTTGCTCTGTCCCAGGGTGGCGCTATCTTGGTTCACTGTAACTTCCGCCTCCCGGGTTCAAGCGATTTTCATGTCTCAGCGTCCTGAGTAAGCTGGGATTACAGGTGCCCGCCACCAGGCCTGGCTAATTTTTGTATTTTTAGTAGAGACGGGGTTTCACCATGTTGGCCAGGTTGGTCTCCAACTCCTGGCCTCAAGCGATCCTCTGGCCTCAGCCTCCCAAAATGCTGGAATTACAGGTGTAAGCCACTGTGCCCAGTCTTTTGCCCCTTCTTGAAAGAAGGGCCTGAGCGCCTGGCCCCTGCACTGGGCTTGATGTCATCCCCTGTTTACCCTCTCACAGCTGCTGTGAGATGGGGCACCTGCTCATATCTGGGCCCAGGGCCACTTCTTTGTCACTGAGGGCCTTGTGGGAGTCAGGCAACTGCGGTGAGGGGTGACTGGCCTATGCGGTTACTGCCATTTGCCTTAGAGAAGCAGGGCTGGGCTCTGCCAGAAGCTGAAGGGGCCTGGCTGGCTTAAAGGCTAGAAGCCCGGTGGGTTCTGGTTCCAGCTATGCTTCTGCTTTGCTACAAACCTGGGTGAGGGATCCTGCCACACAGTGAGGGCCTTTGACCTCCTCTCTGGCTTGTGGGGCACTGATGGACCATCACTGCACTACCCGGTGCACTGACATCAAGGCGTCTAAAGCAGGGGTCTCCAAGCCCCTGGTCGCCAGTACCAGTCCATGGCCTGTTAGGAACTGGCTGCACAGCAGGAGGTGAGCAGGGCCTGTGAGCCACACTGAGCTCCACCTCCTGGCAGATCAGCAGGGCATTAGATTCTCAAAGGGGTGCAAACCCTACTGTGAAATGCTCAAGTGAGGGATCAAGGTTGTGTGCTCCTTATGATAATCTAATACCTGATGATCTGTCACTGTCTCCCATCATCCCCAGACGGGACCGTCTAGTTGCAGGAAAACAAGCTCAGGCTCCCACTGATTTTACATGACGGTGAGTATGTAATCATAATAGAAATAAAGTATACAATAAAAGTAATGCACTTGAATCGCCCCGAAATCATCCCTCCAACCCCTCATTCGTGGAAACATTGTCTTTGGTGCCAAAAAGGTTGGGGACTACTTGTCTAAAGGGCCCCTGGCTCTGGGATAGCTGTGAGTTTCCCTAAGAATGGGCCCCACCAGCCCCACTGCCATGTTCAGGGAATGGAGGGAGAATAGATTTAAGTGAAAAGTTAAAAGGGCTAGACAGGGCCGGGCACAGTGACTCACACCTATAATCCCAGCACTTTGGGAGGCCGAGGCGGGTGGATCATGAGGTCAGGAGTTGAGACCAGCCTGACCAAGATGGTGAAACCCCATCTCTACTAAAAATACAAAAATTAGCCAGACACGGTGGCAGGCACCTGTAATCCCAGCTACTTGGAAGGCTGAGGAAGGAGAATCGATTGAACCTGGGAGGTGGAGTTTGCAGTGAGCCAAGATTGTGCCACTACACTCCAGCCTGGATGACAGAGCAAGACTCCATCTCAAAAAAAAAAAAAAAGGAAGGGGGGAGGGTTGGGTGTGGTGGCTCATGCCTGTAATCCCAGCACTTTGGGAGGCCAAGGTGGGCAGATCACGAGGTCAGGAGATCGAGACCATCCTGGCTAACATGGTGAAACCCTGTCTCTACTAAAAAACAAAAAAACAAAAAATTAGCCAGGTGTGGTGGCAGGCGCCTGTAGTCCCAGCTACTCGGGAGGCTGAGGCAGGAGAATGGCGTGAACACGGGAGGCGGAGCTTGCAGTGAGCCGAGATTGCACCACTGCACTCCAGCCTGGGTGACAGAATGAGACTCCTTCTCAAAAAAAAAAAAAAAAAAAAAGGTGCTAGACAGATGTCACCCCCTAGTGGCATCAACTGCCACGGTGGTGATAAATACCAGACCTAGGAACAAGGAGAATTTGGGTTCTCCCTGAGAGTTACAGGACCCTGGAGAAGTCACTTTCCTCTTTGCTAATTTTTTAAAAATTATTTTTTACAGAGATGGGATCTTGCTAGGTTGCTCAGACTGGTCTCAAACTCGTGAGCTCAAGCGATCCTTCTGCTTCAGCCTCCGGAGTAGCTGGGACTAAAGGCATGAGCCACCATGTCAGGCCCCCTTTTTCTTTAAAATGGGCATTATAATAGTCCCAACACAATGAGACTATTGTAAAGATAAAAGGAATTAACATGCAGAACAGAGCTTAGGACATAGGAAAGGGTTCAATCAGTGTTGGGTGTCAAATAGGAATTGCTGAAGGACTTCGGAGAAATTGGCTTGTTCAGCAGGAGTTTGAAGCGCTTGAGAAGAACATAGTCAGGGTTGCAAAGCTGCAAATCTTTAAGACTGTTTAACATAATTGGAAGGTCAGGTTGCTCCTGCGTTTTAAAATGTACCGAATAGAATAAGATGTACTGTTTCTAAAATGTGTAACTTTATTTCACTGAGTAAGAATTTTACAGCAGCCACAGTGTTATCTATGTTATGGAAGCCACCTTCAAGGCCACCCTGAAATTGATGCTGATGCCACCCTTTGGCTAATTCCTGTTTCCCACTCAGGATTTTCTTTTCTTTTTTTCTTTTTCTTTTTTTTTAGACGGAGTCTTGCTCTGTCACCCAGGCTAGAGCGCAGTGGTGCGATCTTGGCTCTCTGCAACCTCTGGCTCCTAGGTTCAAGCAATTCTTCTGCCTCAGACTCCCAAGTAGTCGGGATTACACACACCCGCCACCACGCCTAATTTTTTTTTTTTTTTTTTAGTAGAGATAGGGTTTCGCCATATTGGCCAAGCTGGTCTCGAACTCCAGACCTCAGGTGATCCACCCACCTCTGCCTCTCAAAGTGCTGGGATTGCAGGCACGAGCCACTACGCCCAGCCAGGATTTTCCATAGGCATTACCCTTACCCCATCACCACCACCACCACCCTCACAGTACCCATCTCTGCTCCATCCCATAACAGGCTGGGAAGCTTCACTCTTCCAGGGAGTATCTGATAAGGGAGGGGCAGCAAATCCTCTCAGAAGGCTAGGTTTCCTTTTGAGTTTTTTCTTTTTCTTTTATTTTTTGAGATGGAGTCTAGCTCTGTTGCCCAGGCTGGAGTGCAGTGGCATGATCTTGGCTCACTGCAACCTCCGCCTCCTGAATTCAAGTGACTCTCCTGCCTCAGCCTCCTGAGTAGCTGGGATTACAAGTGCACACCACCATGCCCAGCTAATTTTTGTATTTCTTAGTAGAGACGGGGTTTCACCATGTTGGCCAGGCTGGTCTCAAACTCCTGGCCTCAAGTGATCCACCCGCCTCTGCCTCCCAAAGTGCTGGGATTACAGGTGCGAGCCACCGTGCCCAGTCCAGAAAGCTGGCTTTTCTTTTCTTTTTTCTTTCATTTTCTTTCAGAGAGGGGTCTCTTTACATTGCCCGGGTTAGTCTCAGACTCCTGACCACAAGTGATCCTCCCACTTCAGCCTCCAGAGTAGCAAGGATTACAGGTGTACACCACTGAGTGCAACTTGGCTTTCCTAGATTAATGTTGTTAATTGGAGAAACAGAATTGGAGCCATGTATGTAATTTTAAATTTTTGAGTAGTCACAGTTCAAAAAAGAAATAAGTGAAATCAGTTTTACTGCTGTTACAAAACTCCACATACTCAAAATATCATTTCAACATATAATCAATGTAAAAATGATCAATAAACTGGGAGCAGTGGCTCACATCTATAATCTCAACACTGTGGGAGGCCGAGGGTGGGGGAAATCTCTTGAGGCCAGGAGTTCGAGACCAGCCTGGTCAACATGGCGAAACCCCATCTCTACTGAAAATATAAAACCTAGCCAGGCGTGGTGGCAGGTGCTGTAATCCCAGCTACTCTGGAGGCTGAGGCACGGGAATCTCTTCAACTGAGGGGCAGAGGTTGCAGTGAGCCAAGATCACGCCACTGCACTCTAGCCTTTTTTTTTTTTTTTTTTTTTTGTAAGCATTCACCATCTCATGTGCATTTTACACTGTGATTTCATCTCCATTCAGACGGGCCACACTGCACATGGGGCTAGTGGTTACTGAAGTGGAAAGCACAACACTCAGTTGTCTGGGTACAAATGGTGTAAATACGTCTGATCATCCGAAGAGTCTTCTTGGTCATCCTTTTTTTTTTTTTTTTTTTTTTTGAGACAGGTTCTCTCCCTATTGCACAGTCTGGAGTGCAGTGGCAAAATTGTGACTTGTAGGTCACTGCACCCTCTAACTCTTGGGATCAAGTGATCCTCCCACCTCAGCCTCCCAAGTAGCTGGGACTACAGGCATGCACCACCATGCCCAGCTAATTCTTTAGATTTTTGGTAGAGATGGGGGTCTCACTATGCTGCCCAGGCCGGTCTTGAGCTCCTAGTCTCAAGTGATCCTCCTGCCTCAGCCTCCCAAAGTATTGGGATTACAGGCATGAGCCACTGTGCCCAGCCTCAAGAGTCATTTTTTTTTCCCCCACAAATTCTCCCAGCC